ATATAAAACAAAGGAATGCTGTGATCAAACCTTGTAATGATGGTAGGAGTCAATGGCCACGTCTCCGTTGCTTCTATCCTGGATCTTAGCTGCATTTCAGTAATTCAGAATTAATCAGAACATATATTTTGTTTATTATTTAAGATCATTCAGAAAAGTATCGTATTTGCTTTGTATTTGATCTGTTTGTACTGTGGAGAATCGGAGAGAGTGATACGTACCTGGATATTTATGGGTGAAAGTATCCCATACACTTGCTCCTCTGCCACCTTCCGTTGCTGCACCTTCGAACTATATATATGACAAACATAAAAGAAATCAAAATGTCATTCAGGAAAGTAATTCAGTTTGGTAGATATTATATGTAGTTTTTAAGAAGTATATATATACCTGGTAAGAGGAAGATCCAGCTCCAAAGATGAAGCCTTGAGGGAAAGTGTTGCGATTGATTGAAATGTCAATAGTTGGTGAAACTGAAACTGTTTCTTCGCATGTAACTTTGGAAGATCTAACAAGAAGAAGAGCAAAGAGACCGATAAAGAGAGAGCTGTAGAAGGCCATGTTATTTTTCTTAGACGTTTGATGTTGTTTCTGTGAATGCTTCAATCTCTCCTTATATATATATATATATGAAGGAATACCAGCTACCTACCACCTTCGTGCTTTGACCAGTTGATTTCATAATATAATATATACTATTTTTGACTTAGAGGAGTGACTGAACTTGTACTTAGTTTGTTCCATAAAACTATTATTAAAGAACTCCTCCCACGTTTTTATTCTTTGGCTACTTTTCCGTTGAATATCAAAATTGGCGGCTATATTTTATACAGCAATTTGCTAACAGGATATAGCACAACTTTTACCAGGTTTTCTTCAGATTTCTCTGGTGAGAGACAAAATAGTATTTTTATATGGGGATGCCTTCCATGTTCTGAACAGGAAGTTCAAACTAAGAAAACAAACTACTCAATTAACCATATCTAATTTGTTGGCACAAAATTTTCATGTTCTTATGCTTATGCTTATGTTATTACTCCCAAAATTTGTGTTCTTTTTTCTATTATTCACTTTTGGATTACATTATTTTAGTGTTATTTCTTTCCTCTGCAAACAAACACAGCTTGAATATACTAGAATTGTTTAATTAAAAGGTAAGCTGGACTAGGTTAGAGCACAGTCAATGTTGGATGTGTGAATAAAGTGTGATGGTCGTGAGAGGAAGTCGATCTTTATTAACCGAAAACAATATAAATAGTTTAATGTTTTATCTATGTAATTACTTAGATTTTTTTTATAATATGTAAATTTTGTTGATGTTTCGTGAAGAATAATTTTTATCATAGGTTTGATGTGGTTCATTATGATTTGTATTATTTTATTTTATTTTTTATTTTTAATAAATTTTCATTTAGTGACAAATGATGAATAAACTTTAGGATATCAGTATAGTTGGAATGTCAAAAGTTCATAATGATATCTTACATGAAATTAAATTATATCAATGTTATTTGAATATGCATAAAGGTAAATAGAATATTATGATTAAGATGTAATTAACACATGTAACAATAAGTATGGTTGAAATCAAAAACACATTATTTAATTGAACACCAAAGAAATTACTTTTTTTTTATATATTTAATCCAAAAAATATGCAATATACTCTTATATCATATACAAGAGTGGGTTTTTAAGCCTAACTCATCCCTACAAAACCAATTTGTAAGCTAAGGTTTGCACTCCACTTATATATTATAATTTGGCCTTATCTCTACCTCATGTGAGACTTCCAACACTACCTTCTTACTTTTGACATCTATTTATAGTTTTCAGATGGGCCTGAGATCAGTAAAACCCTAATCACGACTTAATCATGACCCATTACCTATTAATCATGTTCAACTAGGCACTCCTCACACTACTTATCTAGATTTCCTAGGTTTAGACTTATGTGGTCGATCGTTCTCTCTTAGTGGTATTTTCTGCTCGGTCTTATTTTTAGCCGTCTGACCATATAGTACGGTTGGCAACAATGAAAATGCCCATGAAGAATAATGTGAAATTCAACCATCAAACAAAGATATATAAGATTTTGAAAGTCAATTGCGTTAATTAAATTTTTTATTTTTATTATATTTTGTAATTTTATTTTGGTGTTCTTGTTTTTAAATACGACAATCTATCATCTACCCTATGATGTATATAATAAATATATAAATATATAAATATATATATATATATATATAGTTATTAAAAATAACATCAATATATAAATATAAGATTACAAATAAAAACAATATACTTAAAACTCAATATATCCAACTATTTAATTTATTTCATAATCATTTATCTATTTAAAATAGATATAAGATATGAAATAGAGACTACTTAAAAAATATTAATATCAAATATGTCAAAACAAATTATTTAATCTGACTCGATTTATTATGAATTATTACTTAATAAGTTAATCTGACTCAATCTGGGTTGGTTAGTGTTCTATGATTCATGTTAACGGTGAACTTTTAGGAGAAAAAGGAAAGTTGAAAGATGAGATGCGGAGGGTAAACACATGAACTGTACAAAAAGATATAGATGTTGAAGTAACAATCCTCAATCGATATGTATTTAATAAATTATAAACAAATGTAATCAATCACATTCATGTACAATTGTGACACTCATGGGGGAAATTTGAGTGCACAAAAATCAAGTAGATACTATCATTAGTGGTTGAAGATGTTGAGAAGGGAAACTCTGTTTCTGATTAATTTTCTTGAGAGGTGATCAACACCTATTTCGAGATCATGAATGCACAGCTCCAAGTTTTCCATATCACTATGAAAATTCTCAATAGATGAAAGCTTGTGACTGACGAGAGACTTCAAGGCTGCATCCACCTTTTGAAATTCATTTGTGTTTGATTCTTTAGAGTCCACAAACTTCTCTTTTAGGCTTCATCAACTTGGATATTGCTGACCATCTGCTGGGTTTGAAGTGTTGTTGTTTTTGTGCTTCAAACTTTTCAGGGTGTTTTGAATTTGCTTCTTCATCTTCTTCCTCATTTGCTGACCGAGTATGTCACACATGCAACTGCGAATCCATTTTCACTGCCTTTCTTTCGGCGGATGGATGACTTTAAGTCACTCAAGCTTTCCTTTGATTTCAGAAGGAAATCTTTTAGCAGTACAGATATCCAAGAGCCTAAGAGACCCCTCCAGTAAGTCATCAACCGTTATTGCGATGATGCAGAGAACTTTGTGTTTTCTTTTCAATAGCTACCATTTTTTTCTCTTGAGAAGCAGATCCTTTAGAAAGTAATTTGCAGAGTTATTTGTTGTGGTTTGCTTTTGCTTTATATATAGGAAGTGAAGTTACATATTATGGGAGACTAGGAATCATTTTTTCCCCTCAGATGTCACCTAATGAGTATGCAATTCTATCATATTGATTTGGATATCAGCATCATCACTTGAAACGCTTTGCAAGCATCCAACTCATCCCACAAGTTTTTTATTTATAAGTTGGCAATCACATGGAAGATTGCAAAATGGCAGAGTTTGCATTAAAACAGGTATTTCATAAAAAAATGTGATTGTTCAAGAGCAAGGCTCACCAAGCTTTATTGGGAATGGAGGTGCAGCAGCCTGTTATCCCTCCACTGTCAAGAGTTAGAGGTTGTCGCTGCTCTGTGAAACCAGCCTCACGCTGTGCCCTCCTATCTAAGAGACAGGAAACCCATGCCTTCGCATAGATCCCATGACTCAACTCCGAACTTGGAGTGGGCAAGCCAGAAAATCGCAGCCTCCAGACCAGCTTAGCTAGCAATAGCCTTGTCCAACCACCTTAATGCCCCCACTCAGGTCACAAGCTGACGTTACCCAGCTCGGCGAACTGACATGTTCGTCAGAAGGTTTATAAAGATTATTTTGTCTGATATTCTGAACGGTGTGGGACTTCCAAATGGCAATATTAAGTACGTAAAGTGTTGAGTTGGAAAGTGAGGCTTGTTTCTTCCCGTCTATTTTCTCCATGGTATGATATGATACAACGTAATAATTTATAACCTTGTAACCAAAAGGTTTCATTGAGCATTTTAAGGTGATGAGAAAAACATAAAAGTGGCATTTTAAAGTGTTGATTCCACTTTGATTAATACCCTCATCAGAAAAAGTTCAATTTTGATTATATGTTTTAATGTACTTCTTTATGGATCTCCAATTCGGAACCACCGGGTCGAAAGAATGGAAAATTGGTTGATCACCTTCATCGTTTCTTCTTATACCCCTTAAATGTGATAAAGGTAAAATTGGTAGGAAGATTGGGGGTTAAAAACAGAGGAATCAGTGGGAGGTATAGGTGATTGACCAAACTCGTGAGAAATGGAGAGGCGAAGTAATTGTTCACTAATAATGTCATACGATGGAGCTCTTGTGTTAGATAAGAATTGATTGCAAACATATTCAAATTGAAGAGGAAGTCCAACAAGTGCAAGGACCATCAAAAACTTGTCTCGTTGTTCAACATGTTTGTCTTCAGTATTAGTTAAAGGCATAAGTGACTCCAAATCAGCAATTAAGTGATCGAGCTTACTAAGATACGTTTGTATATCATGATTCTCGAGCATGGCTGTGATAAGATTGAAAATAACATTATAAAACATCATTGGAATATACTTTCTTGACTTTGTTCCACACATCATAACAAGTATTAAAAGCATGGTATTATTTCTTATTATTATGATACAGAGAAGAAACATGACATATCCAGGAAAAGAGGAAGAAAACGGAAACAGAAAACGCAAAAAAGAAGAAAACATAAAGGAGTTAGGGAGGAGAAGAGTCATATTTTTTTGTGTTCTGACAAAACCCAAACAAAAAGTTCTAACCTTTTAATTAAACAATTATAGTATATTCATGCTGTTTTTGTTTGCAGGGGAAGAAAATAACACTAAAATAATGTAATCCAAAAATGCATAATAGAAAAACACAAATTTTGGGAGTAATAACATAAGCATAAGAACATGAAATTTTTGTGCCAACAAATTAGATATGGATAATTGAGTAAATTTTCTAGTAGTTTGTTTTCTTAGTTTGGACTTCCTGTTCAGAACATCGAAGGCATCCCCTTATAAAAATACTGTTTTCTCTCACTAGAGAAATGTGAAGAAAAGCATGGTAAAATTTGTGCTTTCCTGTTAGAAAATTGCTGAATAAAATATAGCCGCCAATTTTGATATTCAACGGAAAAGTAGGCAAAGAATAAAAACGTGAGAGGAGTTCTTTAATAATAGTTTTATGGAACAAACTAAGTACAAGTTCAGTCACTCCTCTTAGTCAAAAATAGTATATATTATATATATTATTATGAAATCAACTGGTCAAAGCACGAAGGTGGTAGGTAGCTGGTATTCCTTCATATATATATAAGGAGAGATTGAAGCATTCACAGAAACATCAAACGTCTAAGAAAAATAACATGGCCTTCTACAGCTCTCTCTTTCTCGGTCTCTTTGCTCTTCTTCTTGTTAGATCTTCCAAAGTTACATGCGAAGAAACAGTTTCAGTTTCACCAACTATTGACATTTCAATCAATCGCAACACTTTCCCTCAAGGCTTCATCTTTGGAGCTGGATCTTCCTCTTACCAGGTATATATATACTTCTTAATAACTACATATAATATCTACCAAACTGAATTACTTTCCTGAATGATATTTTGATTTCTTTTATGTTTGTCATATATATAGTTCGAAGGTGCAGCAACGGAAGGTGGCAGAGGAGCAAGTGTATGGGATACTTTCACCCATAAATATCCAGGTGCGTAACTCACTCTCTCCGATTCTCCACAGTACAAACAGATCAAATACAAAGCAAATATGATACTTTTCTGAATGATCTTAAATAATAAACAAAATATATGTTCTAATTAATTCTGAATTACTGAAATGCAGCTAAGATCCAGGATAGAAGCAACGGAGACGTGGCCATTGACTCCTACCATCATTACAAGGTTTGATCACAGCATTCCTTTGTTTTATATATATTTAAAGAAAACATACAGTTCTTGGTGTTCATAAGCGTCAATTACCTATAAATAATATAACATATTTTTCTGTGTCTGCAGGAAGATGTTGAAATGATGAAGGATTCGAATCTTGATTCATACAGATTTTCCATATCTTGGTCAAGGATTCTCCCCAGTAAGTTATTTTCTTGTAGATAATGACTAAATGTTTCATAGTTGAATCTTCCTTTTGAATTAACCTAACCCTTTTTATAAAACCATATATTTACAGAAGGAAAGCTGAGTGGAGGAATAAATCAAGAAGGAATAAACTATTACAACAACCTTATCAATGAGCTGGTGGCTAATGGTTAGAATATTTGACTTAAATGCTATCGTATTTGGACTTTTTAATTGTATAAAATTTGATGATGATTATTAATAAATGTTAACAATCGTGCACAGGTATAAAACCATTTGTGACTATTTTTCATTGGGATCTTCCCCAAGCACTGGAAGATGAGTATGGAGGCTTTTTAAGTCCACTGATAGTGTAAGTTTCAATTCTAACATATATTTGATTAGCACGTTTGATTATCAGCTGCATAGGAATATAATTTGACAAACAAACATATATTTTTCTTATTCAGGAAGGATTTTAGAGATTATGCAGAACTTTGCTTCAAGGAATTTGGTGATAGGGTGAAGTATTGGGTTACATTGAATGAGCCATGGAGTTACAGCCAGAATGGCTATGCAAATGGACAAATGGCACCAGGTCGCTGCTCTTCTTGGATGAATTCAAATTGCACTGGTGGTGATTCTTCAATTGAGCCATATTTGGTCACACATCATCAACTTCTTGCTCATGCAGCAGCTGTTCGTCTATACAAGACCAAGTATCAGGTTAGTCAATTTATTAAGTATTCTTAAATATTTAGCTATGTTAAAATTGAGTATTCTCGAAGGTTGTTTTAATATTTGAATGATATATATGCAGAAATCTCAAGAGGGTGTGATAGGCATAACCTTGGTGGCTAATTGGTTTTTGCCACTCAGAGACACAAAAGCTGATCAAAAGGCTGCCGAAAGAGCAATTGACTTCATGTATGGATGGTAAGACTTTCTATCACACTCTATTAATTTGCTTTATACAAAATGCAAATGTTAACAATTTGATAAGTATATGGTTTGATGAATAAAAAACTGATTTGAATGCTAAATGATTTCAGGTTTATGGATCCATTAACTAACGGAGACTATCCAAAAAGTATGAGATCACTTGTGAGAACAAGGTTGCCAAAGTTTACTGCAGAGCAAGCTAGACTTCTTATTGGTTCATTCGATTTTATCGGCCTAAACTATTACTCTACAACATATGCCACCGATGCACCTCAACTGAGCAATGACAACCCCAGCTACTTAACCGATTCTCTTGTCACTGCTGCATGTAAGGATTTCATCTATTTTCTACTATCAGTTCACCCTAAATAGTTGAATATGATCATGACTAACAATAGCTTGTGTTTTTTTCTTTTTGATTCATTCTAGTTGAACGCGATGGGAAACCTATTGGAATCAAGGTACTTCTATACTCCTATTAAGACATAAAATTCTCTACTGGTTCAATCTTATAAAATGTAAAATTAACATTTTTTTTATTCATGCAGATTGCTTCTGATTGGTTATACGTTTATCCCAGAGGAATTCGTGATCTCGTGTTATATACCAAGGAAAAATATAACAATCCTTTGATTTACATCACAGAGAATGGTAAATATCATTTGTTCATACTTCTTTATACATCAGTTTCACAGTTTCTCTCCCTTGCTAAATTCAATGTGCATCGTACTCTTTTTGACCTATTCTTATTCATTTTTATAGGTGTCAACGAGTATAATGAACCCTCCTTATCACTTGAAGAATCTCTTATGGACACTTTCAGAATAGATTATCATTATCGTCATCTCTATTATCTTCTGTCCGCTATTAGGTAAGTAATTTTTACTTTTATAATATTAAAATTTTATTCTTATATATGTTGTTTGATTTTTTTTTTAATTTACATTCATTTCATTATTATAGGAATGGAGCAAATGTGAAGGGATACTATGTGTGGTCTTTCTTCGACAATTTTGAATGGGCTTCGGGTTATACATCACGATTTGGAATGATCTTCATAGATTACAAAAATGGTTTGAAAAGATATCCAAAACTATCAGCAACGTGGTACAAGAACTTCCTCAAAAAAGAAACCAGACTTTATAGTTCTAGTAAATATTACAACCAAAATTCATTCATTCAATTATTACATTTTCTTTGTAACTAATTAATTCATATTCTTTTATTCTAAAGTTCATAGGTCTCAAAAATAGAGATTTTCTTCTCATTCTTTCATTATTCTTTCATTGTAATTAAAGTCCTATTATATTGTATTGGACTTCGGTCGATGGAAAAAGATACATATATGTTGTAGATCTGTTAACACTGGTGTTACAATCAGAATGAAAAAGACATTGTTATTATAATAAAGTTTTCATTTTTCATATCCATCATCTATATACAATATCTATATATGTAGCCAACAATAATTGCTTTCTTAATGGAAGTGTGTTAAGTTGATTCTTGTTTTAAAAGAAATAATTTAATCTTAACTTTTAGAAGTGCCTTAATTAGATTTTCTTTAAAAATATCATGAAAGACGTTAATGATATGTCACGTCAATTTGTGAATTTTTTTAAATTCTTTTAGTTTTTTTTTTAATTTATTTTTGTAAGAATTTTCTTGCCAAGTGTCATGTTTATGTATGACATGTGGCACTTGTGACGTTCAACATGGAAGTGACACCTTACCCCACCAGTTTTGTGCCTTGTCTATCTACCTCTTCCAATTTTAGCGTTGCCACAAAACTCTACTTTAGGTTGAATTAACAACATAATCGTTTGAATAATAATTTTTAAATAAATTATTATACTTGATATCGATTTAAAATTTTAAATGTTGGATTAAAATTGTTAACGAAATTAAAAATTTGTGCATGTTTACATGGTACAGATAATTTTAGTTGGTTTAGTGGTGAGAATTTTATTAGATTCTTTGATCCATTTCATACAACCTTTGACGGTTTTCTTTCTAGATTTTATTCATCTAGCTGGAGGATTCCAAACCGAACTTTAAAGAAAGTAACGTGGTTAAGGCAATATCAAATTAGTTTGACAATAGTTATTAAGAAAGGAGACAAAAGTTCATTTTTGGCACGATAATTGGAATATGGAGAATTATCTTTAACACAAAAATATTCTATAATATATAATAATTCATTGTTACTTTGATTTCAAAGATGGACAGTTGGAATAATAAAATTTGAGAATGGAAATTAAATCAGGTTAAGAAATTCAAGCAAGATATTTAAAATCAACTCAAGGACAATACACGGGAATGGAAGAGAGAAAGATACCAAAGCTTTTATTATTAAGTCAACTTAATTATAGTATCACACAGAACAATTGCAATGGGCAACAAATGGATTTTTCCAAAATAATATGTTGTGTGTTGCATTTAACATCTCTTCTTTTGAGTGTATGTTATATAATCCTACTTAAAATCTTACTTAAGAGTAATAATAACACAACACAATCAAACTTTACTACATTTTAATCAATTTTATATATCTGGTATTAATATAAAAAATAATAAGATTTGGTAGGTTATGTGAATAGTTATATAAGAAGTATGAGACCATAATAATATGGTTGTAGTTACCAACTCATAAAAGGAAGACATGAAAATTTGTAGAATATATATATAGTTAAAAGTTTAGACATCAATGAAAAATAAATATCAAAACCAAACTTATTGACATTCATGTCTAAAAATACATATTCATTCCGTCATAAATTAATTCAAAAATAAGTAAAAAATAAAGGTCTCTTCTACTATATTGTTATTTTTTATTTTCGTGTTAACCTGCTCCGATCAACTATGCTTTATGTTTTTATGGTATTAAGCTTTTTTAGACAATTTTAATGCATAGGAAGATGCTACAATTTAGAATTATCACACAAAAAATAATTCTAGAAAGAAAATTGTCTATTGTATACTTCATTGAAATTTATCTCTCTTCACTTGCACGGGAGACATATACAATATATCTGGTAGTTTATGGAGGTGGTGTTCAATCCCCTGATTTTATTACTAAATTGATGGTTAAAGTAATCATAAGAATTAGCATTATCATAGTTACCATTTTTTTTTAACTTACATTTCTTTTATATAAACTTATTAATCATGTTTTCTATTTACAAAAATTATTACTATCAATAATAAATACTAAGAGAAAATTATTATTATTTTTTAAGGTAAATATTTTAATGGGCTTTACAGGTTTTTTCTGTTTCTTGTGTGCAAATCTAGTATGGTAATTATAAAATCTAGTGTTTACATCCTAACCTATTTTTTATACTTTTGTACGCAATTTGAGACATCATACTTCATTCTTTAATTTATATATTAATTATATATGATAAAAACATGTACAAAAACGTGTACCTTGATTGTCTATATTATGCATCACATGATTTTGTACAATGGTTTTTTTATACTTTTAACATGTTGACTTATGATCTAATATATAACTTTTTTATTTAAAAAGTTCGATTAAATGGCAACTTTAAATATGTTTAAAAGGTGAATACGGATAAAAAATAAATCTTTAAAAATTTAAATTCTTAATATACACATAAGATAAAGTTTTATTTTATTATATTTCAAGACAGTATAAATCTCTCGATATATAAATTTCTAACATTTTTATTTTAATGATGCTATAAACCTAACATGTTGTTCAAACTATGCATATGTTGAAGTGTTGATTAGGCTTGTTGTCTTAGTGAAAGAAAAACTAAATAAAAGACTTTCATATTTTTTTTGGGTCCATATTCACTTTTACTATTTTTTTTTTCTATATTTTTAGTGATTTTTTCAATATAAAATTTTACTCTTTCAGTGGAGACAAAAAGAATAAAATGTTAAAGTATATACTGGGAGTAAAAAGAAAAGAAAAAATATGAGGACCAAAATAATGAATATATATTACATGGACCATATACTTAAGCCTTAATTTTTCATAAGTAATTTAAAAAATTAAATATTTAATATTGTTATAATCATTTTATTAATTTATCCATATATAACATGCTTATCTACCCAATCAAATAAAATAATAAAAATTAAATATATTTTTAATGTTTGATTATAAAAAAAGACTATTTTCAAATATAAAGTTGACATGTAAATTTCTATATTTAAGAAAAAAAACACTGTTTCAATTTATTTTTCCAAACTTCTCTTATCTAAATATGATCTAAATAAACATTTAAAAAAAAACAGTTAAATAAAATATATTACAAAATTTAAAAAAAACTTAAAAAATATGTTGACCATATTTCCAAAAACGATTAACTTATTCTTTTATTTTTTTGTTTTTAGTTTTTTTGATATGTTTTACTTATTTGTTTTAAATAATAATATTTTATAAATTTAAATATTACTGAATAAAAAAATATATAAAAAATACTAAATTAATTAAATATTTAATATATTCATTAAAACAATTTTTTGATTTTTAAATTTAAAGAAATAATTTTTTTAATTTCATTTTTAAATTTAAATATATTAAATTTTTAATTCTAAACATGTTATAGAAAGAAGGTGGTTATTAGTAAAAAGGATAATAATGGAATATTTGAAGATGTATGATGAAAATTAGGAGGTGCAGCAGGAACTCCTCTAGAATTTGATTAGATTCCTTTCATTTGGTTTTCCTCTAATGGTCTCCTTCTATATTTGGTTCATCCTAGTTTGAAGATTTGAACCAAATCGAATTTAACTTAACCGCATCGAACCCAATCGAACTCAACCCAATTCAACCCAACTCAACCCAATCCAACCCAACTCAACTCACCCCAACCCAACCCAACTCAAACCAACCGAACCGAACCCAACACAACCCAACCAAATCAAACCCAACCCGTTTGTTGAATATATCATTTGGTGAATATATCGTTTGGTGAATATATCGTTTGGTGAATATATCGTTTGGTGAATATATTGTCTAGTGAATATATCGTTTGGTGAATATATCCTCTGGTGAATATATCCTCTGGTGAATATATCATTTGGTGAATACATCGTTTGGTGAATTTATCGTTTGGTGAATTTATCGTTTGGTGAATTTATCATTTCGTGAATATATCGTTTCGTGAATATATCGTTTGATGAATCTATCCTTTGGTGAATTTACAATTTAGTAAATTTACGGTTTTGTGAATTTATCGTTTGGAGAATTTATCGTTGGGTGAATTTAACGTTTGATGAATTTATCGTTTGGTGAGTTTATCATTTGGTCAATTTATCGTTTGGTGAGTTTATCGTTTAGTGAATTTATCGTTTCGTGAAATTATCCTTTACTCAATTTATCGTTTAGTGAATATATCGTTTAGTGAATTTATCGTTAAGTGAATTTATCGTTTGGTAAATTTAACGTTTCATAAATTTAACGTTTGGTAAATTTATCGTTTGATGAATTTATCGTTTGGTGAATATATTGTTTGGTGAATTTAGCGTTTGNTCTATATATGTAGCCAACAATAATTGCTTTCTTAATGGAAGTGTGTTAAGTTGATTCTTGTTTTAAAAGAAATAATTTAATCTTAACTTTTAGAAGTGCCTTAATTAGATTTTCTTTAAAAATATCATGAAAGACGTTAATGATATGTCACGTCAATTTGTGAATTTTTTTAAATTCTTTTAGTTTTTTTTTTAATTTATTTTTGTAAGAATTTTCTTGCCAAGTGTCATGTTTATGTATGACATGTGGCACTTGTGACGTTCAACATGGAAGTGACACCTTACCCCACCAGTTTTGTGCCTTGTCTATCTACCTCTTCCAATTTTAGCGTTGCCACAAAACTCTACTTTAGGTTGAATTAACAACATAATCGTTTGAATAATAATTTTTAAATAAATTATTATACTTGATATCGATTTAAAATTTTAAATGTTGGATTAAAATTGTTAACGAAATTAAAAATTTGTGCATGTTTACATGGTACAGATAATTTTAGTTGGTTTAGTGGTGAGAATTTTATTAGATTCTTTGATCCATTTCATACAACCTTTGACGGTTTTCTTTCTAGATTTTATTCATCTAGCTGGAGGATTCCAAACCGAACTTTAAAGAAAGTAACGTGGTTAAGGCAATATCAAATTAGTTTGACAATAGTTATTAAGAAAGGAGACAAAAGTTCATTTTTGGCACGATAATTGGAATATGGAGAATTATCTTTAACACAAAAATATTCTATAATATATAATAATTCATTGTTACTTTGATTTCAAAGATGGACAGTTGGAATAATAAAATTTGA